GGCCCACGAACGGGGCGTGGCCTAGAGCGCCACGGGGTGGGGCCAGTGCCCAGGGCTCCAGGCTCGCCGCCGGAACCTGAGAAACGGAGGCCAAAGAGGGCTCCCCTACACATAGTCCAGTCAAGGTTGCTTGAGGATCCCCGTGTGGGTCGTGGCCAGAACTGCCTGGAATCCCCGTGGTCAGGGGCACCTCCACCAGGGACCCCAAGTTATGGGGCCTGAGCCAAGGCCATCGAGGACCCACACCTACACACCCAGAGGCAGAGCCCCAAACCGAACACGGCGCCACGGGGTGGATCCGACTCATGACCACCCTACAGGTCCTATAGTTCTCCTATAATTTAGGCGAACTGCCCCCTCTGAGTTTCCGGACTTTGAAATCTTTTTGAGTGCAGACAGCCTCATCTTGCACAACCAGGAGCGCTGGGTGGGCTCGAACCGCTGACCTTGTGGTTGTGTGTCCTATCGGTCTCAACTAAAAGACTTTTTCTAGGGAGAGGGGGGATGTCCCAGGAAAACATACCCGGTGACACGGGCCAAACGGAGGTAAGAAGGGGCGTACTACTGACGCCCAGAGGGACACAGAGAGGCCCACCCGGAGCCGCGGAAGGGGAGCCCAGGCCCCAGCCCCAGCGCAGGAAACCCAAGCCAGGGCTAAAGTGCTTTTCCCTGGGTGAGGAGCTGACACAGCCGTGCACTCGGAGTCTGGCAAGTCACAGGGCACTTAAGAAGAGCTATTAATCTGCTGCTGCCTGACCAGCCCACTCCATCTACAGCCAGCAACACCCCATGCCACCAACTCTGTGGGGGAGGAGCTGAGGACACACCCCACCTTTCCCCTCTTGCAAATACTGGCAGGTTTTGGAGGGAGTCGGCATGGGGGAGGTGGCAGGCCCTCCAGCCACAGCCCCCCAGGGAGGGCCAGAGACGGCTCAGCCCTGCCCTGAACACGCGTCTTCTCAGAGCCAACCCCTCTGGTACAGGCAGCGAGATGCGTGCCAACCGGAAATGGCTGTCTTAGCGCCCTGCCTCCCCAGATGGGCTGGGAAACTTTCCTCCCACTACCCAGTGAGTCCCAGCCGCCCGAAGGGGCCCGGGAGCCATGAGCAGAAACCCCAGAGTGACCCGAGTTCCCTCTGCCCCCTGCCGGTTCAGGTGGCTGGGAACCCGCTGGGGACATTCAGGACCCACACTGCCACACTCCACGGAGAGGCCACAAGCTCCTGGGGTTCAAGCCCTTGAGTCAGGGCACAGAACCAGAGGTCTGTCCAGGCTGAGGCCTGGCCTTGCCAGCTGTGTCCGTGGAGGTGAAGGGGTAAAGTCGGCTCTCCAGGCCACCTGCACACCTGGTGACTGGGACCCGGACCACTGTCCGAGGACTGCAGAGTCCTCCCTTGGAGTTCGGTCACCCCGGCCTGGGAGTGGGGGCTGGTCACCTTCCTCCCTCCCCCCAGGGGACAGAGCAATGACTCTTATTCATCATCACAATAACGTGCTAAGCCGGCAACAGCCAGACCAGGAGCGGCTTCCATCACAGGCAGTTGGTCGCTGGAGAGTCGCCAGGGGCGGCAGCAAGCCTTGCCACCCCCCCTCCCCACAGGCTCCCTCACCTGCCCCTCCCCCCCGCCTGGAAGTCAGAAGGCTCTGTAGACCACTCCACCCGTCCCCACTCTGGCCTGTGTTTCTGGCAGGACGACACGGCCCCATTCCAGCCCAAGCTCCCCCACCCATTCCCGGTCACTAGTGGCCTGGGATGCTGGGAGACGCTCAGCCGAGGTGCCCCCCCGCCGACACCGCGGGTCAGGGTTTCAAGGGAAGCAGAGTCCGCGTGGCCCACACAAAGGCCCCCTCGGCGCCAGCAGGCCACTCTCGCCGGCCAAAGCAGAGTCCCGCTGGAGCCAGTTGGTGTCCACCGCTCCTGGCTCAGCAGGCGATGAGGCCAGCCAGAGGCCCCACTCACCGGCATTGACGATGGCGTCCACCTCCAGCTTGGTGATGTCACCACGGAACAGGGAGATCTTGTCGTTGAGTTGCTTGTCTTTTTTGTACTTGGGCTCGGCCACCTTCACAGCCGCACCTGCAAGGAGTGGGGTCCGGGGTCACCAGGAGGCCCGGGCAGGCCCTCCTCAACAAGGTCCCTCCAGCAAAGGGGTGGCTGATGGTGGCAGTAGTGACAGTCCTTCCACGTGCCAGCCCCCTGACGCACGGCCCCCTGCAGGCCTCCCAGAAACGTCACCGGCCGGTATCTTATCGACCTCACCTGCCTACTTCACAAGATCCCTGCTGGCAGGTGGCTGAGCACTTGGCGCTAACCCAGAGGTTGGCAGTTCGAGCCCACCAGCCACTCTGTGGGGGCCAGAAGACCCCGTGACCTGCTCCCATAAAAACAGACGCACAGCCTAGAAAGCCATTGCGGGTAGATCTACTCGGTCCTATAGAGTTTTCTATATCAGTGGCATGCAGCAACACGCCTGTTTCACGGATGGGGAAACTGAGGCATGCCCAGGGTTCACAGGCTAGGGTGCTCCCCAGCGCAGCTCCATAGCTTGTAAGCCCCAGCCCACGACCAGTGGGCCAGTGGCTTCCTGGGTCGGGGGCTTGGTTTTCCAATTGTATAATGGAAATCAATGTCTAGTCTGCTGGAATTGGAAATAAACAGTACCGCCCATCGTAAGCATTCAGCAAAGCTACAGCGATTATTTTTCTTGTCCTTTGGCCGTCCAGGACTCCCAAGCCAAGGGTCTGAAGAGGCCACTCCACCCAACACCTGGGGCGGGGTCGTCTCTCCCAGGAAGGGCCTACCTTTTGCCATCTCCTTCCACGTCGGTATTTTCTTCAGCCTGATGAAGTCCTGGCAGAAGTAGTGTTCTTCCCTCTGCTTGTCACTCAGGCCCTTCAGAAAAGCTGGGGGGCAGAGGGGGGCACAAAGAGGGGAAGTCAGGGAGGGCAAGGTGAAGGGCAGCCCAGGGCTTTGTCCCGGCCCAGTCACCGCCCCTCACAGCGTCTTGCCTTCTCCATACATATCAACGTTTCCCTCAGGTACTTGGGGAGAGGGGCACTGAGGATGGGGACCCCCAAACCACCTCACGCACCCCCTGTGTTCAGGAGGAGAAGCTGAGGCCCAGGGAGGCTGAGGACTTGCTCAGGTACTGCAGACCTGGGCTCAGACTAGAATGCAGCAGCGACCACATCCCTGTGGGCCCCTAAGTGTACAGAGAGTAGAGCGGGGCTGGGCCATACCCTGCAGAACAGGGGCGCGTGTACTATGGGAACTCATGCCCAGCGGGTCACTCTCCACGGATGACAAAGGAAGGTGGAGGAATCGGGGTTGTGGAGCGCATCGGCTATACCCGTACACCTAGAGCAGAGAGAACGCGAGACGTCGTCTGATTGCTTTGGACAGGTTGTCGGGAGGGTGGATCTCAGGGGGCAAGACAATGTGGTTGGGAAAGCAGAGGGTCTGTGGGAGAGAGGGGCAGACCCTGATGAGACCATGGACGAGGGGCCACAGCCCTGGGCTCAGACAGGCTGGGCTGGGGCTGGAACAGAACTCTTGGTCCCATGACCACCCTTTCGACTGGTTTGTTTTGTTTTTTGAAGTGTTTTTTGTTTTCTGCTCTCTTTCCAGTTGAGGTGTGTCTCGGTTTCACTGGGTCGTCGCGGCTGCGTGCTTTTTGTGTCTGGTCTTTGGTGTGTTTGTCTGAACAGGGACGTCCGGAGGGGTGGACCCGTGGAGACAGTCACTGGATTCCTAATGACCCAAATGTTCTGCAGTTGATTGTGGCGATGAGTCCACAAAACCAAGCCAAACTCACTCTCTCGCCGGGTCACTGCCGACTAGGAGCGACCCTACAGAGCAAGGCAGAACTGCCCCCTGCGGGTTCCGAGACTGGACCTCTTAACGGGAGTGGCAAGCCTCACTTCGCGCCGATGACTGCCCAAGTCTTCTTAATATTGAATTGTATGGTATTATTATTGAGTCGTTATTGCTACGTGATTAAGATGGTATTGTATGACATGTTCATGATGGAGTTATGTGATATGTTAAGCAGATAGTCCAATAAACACCCCTCCCCCCCCATTGTCAGGGCAAACCAGCCTCCAACAACCGCAGGGTCCGCAGGCGCAATTGTACGGTGATAATATATAAAGACCATAGTAAAGTGTTAGAGAATAGGAGGGGGAGTAAAATAAAGGGTCAGGCACATTTCATGGGGGCATGCTCGCCTCAGCCCCTCTTGGGGGTCCACGTGGAGGTGGGAGAAGACAGGAGGAGAGCGAGCGAGTATATTTCCAATTAAGGCTTATATACACTTAGGGGCGTGCAAACCCCCCCCCCCCATGACAGGTAACCACATCCATGACAGGAAGGGGCTGTCCCACAGGCATACGCGTGACAGGAAGGGGATGAGCTAGGGGTACACGTGACAAGATGGGTGGATCCTAGATTCAAGATGGCAGCCTACCCCCATCCTCCTAGAGTTGGCTTGACCTTGTCTTTGGCCTCTCCTTCAGGGATGCAATCCACTATCCTTATCAGCACGGGTGAGTCTCACCTATGGTGGGCAGACAATCAGGTCTGATGCTCTCAATCTGCGGCTCTCAACCTGTGGGTCTCCACCCCTTTGGGGGTCGAAGACTTTCACAGGGGTCGCCCGATTCATCACAGTAGCAAAATGACAGTGATGCAGTAGCAACGACAATAATGTTATGGTTGGGGGGCCACCACCACATGAAGAGCTGTTAGAGGGTCGCGGGCCTGAGGAAGGTGGAGAACCACTGTTCTAGGAGGTGTCCACCAGCAGTGGTCCCTGCTCATGGCTCACCTGCTCCCCCTGCTGGCCAGAAGCCGCCTGAGCACCACGCGCGAAGCCCAGCCTTGCGGCCTGGAACAGCAGCGCCCACTGTGGAGTGGGCTGGGGGCATGATCAAGAAACTCAAAATAAAATGAGAAAAGAAACTCAAAAACGTGTAGCAGTGGGAGGACAACTAGAACTGGTGGGGGAATGAAGGTCTATAAAAATCAAATGACTTGAGGGAGCCGTGGGCTGCACGTTGGGCCACGAACCATGAGGTCAGCGGTTCACACCCACCGATGGCACCACTGGAGAGAAAGGAGGCTGTAAGGGCTTGAGATGAGACGTCCTTGCTGAAGTCAGGGGATCTTGGCTCACCGAAAGCAGAGCATAGCCAACCGGTGCTTATCTGTGCTTTACCGGCCATGCAAAGGCATTTGACTGTGTGGGGCCTAGCAAGTGGTGGGTGACACTTCAAAGAATGGGAATCCCAGAACACTTCACAGTGCTTATGTGGAACGAATACATGGATCAAGAGACAATTGTTCAAACAGAACAAGGGCATGCTACCTGGTTCAAATGCAGGAAAGCCACGCCTCTAGGTTGTGATTCAGTCTGTACGCTGAGCAGATCATCTGAGCAGCTGGACTGTAGGGGGAAGAACTGACCTTGGATTCGAGGAAGACTCATTAACACCCTTTATGTGTGTAGAGGATACAACCTTGCTGGCTGACAACACCATCAGAGACCACAGTCCTTGGTAGAGATTACAATCCAACAGACAGAATTTGTTGTTGTTGTTAATCCTTCCAATGAGGCCAGTAGGAAACATGATCAATGGAAACAATACCAAAGTGTCAAGAATTTCATTCTCCTTGGATCCACAGTCCATGCCCGTGGAAGCAGCAGCCAAGAAATCCAATGATAAAAAAAGAAAAAAGAAGTCAACTGATGAATTGCATTGAACAGATCAGCTGCACAAGATCTCCTGAGTGTGTTAAAAACCACAGTGGTCCCTTTGGGGGCTAAGGTGCCCTGGGCCCAGGCCCTGGCGTCTTCCAGCACCTCACATGCATGTGGGAGCTGGACCATAAATAACTAAGACCAAACTCACTGCCGTGGAGCCAGTTCTGACTCCGCTGAATAAGGAAGGACTGATCAAGAAACAATGCCCTTGATTTACAGGGCTGGCGAAGACAATCAAAGACGCTGTGGACTGCCGGACGATGAACAGAGCGGTTTTGGAAAGAGGGCAGGCAGGATGTTCCTTAGAAGCGAGGGTGGCCAGACTTTGTCTCACCCACTTTGGGCACCGGCTAAGGCCCCAGGAGACTGGCCAGGCCCAGGTAGCTGGGGGCAGCATTGGTCCGATGTCAGCTCCAGCTCTGACAGGAGAGAAAGGGCATCCCACTGAGGCACCCGACTGGTCGGTGGTCACGTCCAAGCACCCTACCAAGCTGTGTCCTCTCCTCTCCAGCCCAATCCAGAGGCAGCTCCGGTTTACAAGGATGGCGAAGGATACTGACGGGCGCTCCTGGCTCTGCTCGGCCCAAAGTCCCATACACGCCTCGAGAGAGAGTAGTATGTTGGGCCCCTGCTTCCTCGCTTCAGAAACAGATCGAGGCCTGGTGGATCCCTCAGGATGGACAGCGCACCACCGGTGCTATCCGGGGGACTCCAAACCAGAGGCTTCGGGAAGGCAGAGGGGTTTCAAGGTTGTGAGCTCCTGAGTGTAGATCTCCAGGCCTGCCTCCCGAGGCGCCTCTGGGCGGGCCAGAACCACCGACCTTGCACGCTCATTTCCATGGGAAGGAAAGGGCTACTGCCATCCCGCCAGGACCTGAAGAGCCAGCGGCCGGCCGCAGCCATGTCCTCCGGGTCTGCTGTCAGCAGACCCAGGTCCCCTTTCACTCCCCTTGGAAGCAGGAACTCTGGCCCGGGCATCGGCCTCCAGCGTGAATGGCCTTCTCTGCCTCCTTCTGCGAGAAGCAATGCCTCATGCAGACTCACAGCGCCAAGTGGGTGTTTCTTTTTTGTAAAACATACGTTTTCATTTTCTTGCTTTTCCGGAGAGGAGAGAGTATTTCACAGTTCAGTGAGACGGGGGTTGTAAAAGGATGTTGGCAGTAAATTTTGATGGCAAGGCCTGACCCCAAACACAGCCTCTTGCAGCGGCTCCCGGTCTCCAGCGCCGAGCAGAGGAAGCAGGCCCAGCCAGGACCATAAAGCGCACGAGCGAACGGGAACTCAATGATGTGTTTTAAGAAGTGTCTTTATGGCACTTTGCGAGACGGTCTTCAGAGAGGTGAGGGCGGGCGGGGAGGCGGGGGGAGGCGGGGGCGGGGGGTGCTCTTCTGGAGAAGGTCGGGTGGGCCGGCCTGATAACAGCCGCGCACCGGGATCGTGGTACCGTTTAGGCTCGGTGGCAGGGACATTAATCACCTGTGCTCATGGTCCCCAGCCACGGGCCTCGTCAAAGTCATGGCACGGGCCACAGGGACGCACGCACAAGGCATCTTGGAGCTTTTCTGCTCTGCGCCTTCACCCACACCGGGTGTGGGGTAGCACGGGCGGAGGGGGCGGGTGTGCCAAGACCATTTCCCTGGGGGGCAGGTGGGAGAAAGGCCCCTCCAATGTCCAGATGTGCCTGGAGACACCCACGGTCCGACCGGTCCTGTCGGCTAGCTCACCAGTTCTGGAAGTCCGGGGGGG